AAGGAAATCTGAGTTAACTTTGTCATAACTCTTTTCAAAGTCCAATTTCAAAACCACACCTTGATGTTTCTTTTGGATTCATGCAAAATTTCATGAAGTGACATGCCCATGGTACGCCTACCTCTAATGAAAGCATTATGACATAGTTTATGCATAAAAGGCGTGAGCTCCTGAATAGTTGTGACTGATAGGATGCAATGCTATTTCCAGCATGAGAAGAGCTCAACCATAGACACTAGAGACCTTGCTTCCAGCGTTGGGGAGGAGTTAACAATGAAGTTTCATCAGGTTCCTTTAAAATGTAAAACAACGTATGCGGATATTTCATAGCTTGTGGGGCACCCACTTATTATTGCCTTTTTCTTTCAAGTTAAAATAAATTAAAGATCATATACACCGGTTATCGTATCTTGTGCACATGTAAAATTTCATTCAACAATCCAACCATATGTGACCCAAGGTAAAAAAAAAAAAGATATTCCTGTGCTATCCACACATTTTCTTTTTTTGTGCGAGATACAAATATATGTGTACAAGATACACGGTAATCCGTGTCCATGTTTTTCGTATTTTTTGAAAACTTAGAAATACCTCATGTAATATGTGGTGCGTGCGATAACATTTTTCGGCTGGGTGAATAGAAAGCTTCCAGTTCAGGACTTGAACAAAACGGTCCCAACAAACCAAATCAACACGACACACCAGACACCAGGCTCGACCTGCCGCTCTTTCCCACTCCCGCGTCCTCCCCTCTCATTTTGTCCCCTTTCCGTTGTCCTCGACCGATGAGCCGATTTGGCCGCCTCCCGCGAGCGGCCTGAGTCAAAGCAGCAGCAGCGGTCCACGGCAGCGTACGCCCAACCCCAACCCCGCCACCACCCAATCCCCTCTCCGCCGGCGACGCCGCCCACCCTCCGCCCCGCCGGCGACCGCCTCGACACCGAGCGAGGTTCGCTTGCTTCCTCCACTCCTAAACCCCCTTCTGGATTCGATCCCCGCGCGCGCTAGCTCTCCGAGCCTCGGATTGCCTCGGCTCGCTTCGCTTGCTCCTGATGGTGTCCTGTCCCCCGTTGATTTCGGTTTCGATTTTGCTCCCGCGGCTGGGCTCTGGCCTGGTGGAATTCCGACCCACCTCTCTGTTCGTCGCGTGTTGCTTTTGTTCCGCCTTGCGCTGTGGTTTTGCGTGCGTGCGTGCCGTCGCGGGATCGGAATTCCGGAGAGCCCTAACTTATTGCGTCGTCGAACTTGTTGAGAGTTCAGTTGCTGTCGTTGGAATTAGGGTTGACTGCGTCAGAATCTGCGATCGGTGCTGCATACTTCTATTTTAGTTCTGATGATTGCTATGGAGGAAACATTGGGTCGATTGGCTAGTGCTTCTATGAGTGCGTCGTTCTAGAATGTTGTCGCTAGCCCCTACTGTCTGTCGGTATATGCACAAACTAGGCCGTTCTGCTGAAACTGCTGCACGACTTAGAAGTTAGAACAGACCTTCTGTAAATAGACATCTAAAGGCTACATATGGTTTTTTGTTTTCGGCTCGTTTTCCCCTTAATAAACTGGGTCGCACTATTTTGTTAAATTGAAGGCCAGCGCTCCTGCTAGTGTGACTATTGAGCGGATTAGATATATTATAGTTCTATGATAAACTCTGTGGATTAAAGTATGCATGAGGGTTTGTAAATCTTGTCTGGTTTTATCTGGATCAGATCCTAATACCTAGAAGTAGATTTGTAATATGTGAAATTAAAGTTAGTAGTCAATTATCAATTGTTGTTGCTGTTATCAATTGTGATCATCTGATGCAATTTCCATCCATTAGGATTTGAACGACTTTTTATCTGGTTTAATTTGATACATTTACATCTCACTGAGTCGATGTAGATGTCCTATCTATAAGCAGTAAATTGCAAATATGCGATCCGTTTAGAGTGAATCCTTATGATTTTCCTGCAATAATTTCAGGTTCATGAGGGGTTCGAGAATGAATCCAGACCGTAGGACACGGAGCATCATGTCAGTAGTAATTGTGATGGGTTTGTGCTGCTTCTTCTATATACTAGGCGCTTGGCAGAAAAGTGGGACAGGGAGGGGTGACAGTATAGCATTGAGGGTGACAAAGGAAACCGACTGTACAATCTTGCCAAATTTGCACTTCGAGACCCATCATAGTATGGGTGGTGTTAATCCGTTGATCATGAACAATAAAGTGTTTAAGCCATGCCATATTAGATACAGGGACTATACTCCTTGCCAAGACCAGAACCGAGCAATGACCTTTCCTAGAGAAAATATGACCTATCGAGAGAGGCATTGTCCTGCGGAAAATGAGAAGCTGCACTGTCTTATCCCAGCACCAAAAGGCTACGTCACCCCTTTTGCTTGGCCCAAGAGCCGTGAGTATGTTCCATATGCAAATGCTCCATACAAGAGTCTGACAGTTGAAAAGGCAGTTCAGAACTGGATCCAGCACCAGGGAGATGTCTTCCATTTCCCAGGAGGCGGGACAATGTTTCCAAATGGAGCAAGCTCTTACATTGATGAACTTGCATCAGTCATTCCACTTACTGATGGCACCATTAGGACTGCACTTGACACTGGATGCGGGGTATGTCTAATAAACCCATATTTCAATCATTTGCTCCCTTGAAGATGTGTTAGCAGTTAGCTGCTGTTCACAATCTCTTTAATTGTCTTCTTAGTTGCATCATTGCTTAGCTTATGCTCTACTTCATATAGCACCAAGTCATAGATGTTAGTTTCTTGTACATATCTTAGTTCTTGGTCCAACTTTTTGGTATTTTCACATATACGATTAGGTATTAATTTTTCCTTATGGTGGTGCCGGTGCATTCTTGCCCGAAAGACTTGGGAGTAACATTTTGAGCATGTGTAGGTTGCAAGCTGGGGTGCTTACCTAATGGATAGGAATATATTGACCATGTCATTTGCACCTCGAGACTCACACGAAGCTCAGGTTCAATTTGCTTTGGAGCGAGGTGTTCCTGCTGTAATTGGAGTGCTTGGGACTATGAAGCTCCCATACCCATCTAGATCTTTTGATATGGCCCATTGCTCACGCTGCTTAATCCCCTGGAAATCAAATGGTGAGTAGTGTCAACCATGCATAAATATTGAAATACTCGTGTCAATTGGATTATTTTCAAGAGCTTTAGTTTTTTGCTTCCTGCAGATGGAATGTACATGATGGAAGTGGATCGGGTTCTTAGGCCTGGGGGTTATTGGATATTATCTGGTCCTCCCATCAATTGGAAGAAATATTACAAAACATGGCAAAGATCCAAACAAGATTCAGAGGAAGAACAAAATAGAATTGAGAACATTGCTGAAATGCTTTGCTGGAATAAAATATATGAGAAGGAAGATACTGTTATTTGGCAGAAAAAGGCAAATTCAAATGCATGCCATAACAAGAATGGTCGTACCAGCAAGATGTGCAACGTTCAAGATGCAGATGACATCTGGTATGTTCTCTGTTTGTAGTATATACAAACACATGCTGTAAACTACTAACATGCACATCAACTTGAGCACTCACCTGGGTGGCATAATAAAAATAATGATCTATTTACTTCAAGGTCTGAGATTGTTATAGTTTTTTTTCTGTCCTCTTTTATTTAAGTTAAACAGAGGCAGGAGCTCTGCCTTTTATGTTTCATGTCCTTTCATTATATCAGTTTTTGAATCACTTTTCTGTATACTATAGGTATAAGAAAATGGAAACCTGTATAACACCTATCCCAGAGGGAGCACAGCAGCTACAGAAGTTTCCACAGAGACTATTTGCAGTCCCTCCCAGAATTCTAGAAGGTACCCCAGGTGTTACAGAAGAAGTCTATGAAGAGGATAAGAAGTTGTGGAAGAAGCATGTTGATACATACAAGAGGGTAAACAAGTTGATAGGGAAGTCAAGGTATAGGAATATCATGGACATGAATGCAGGCCTTGGAAGTTTTGCTGCAGTGCTGGATTCTCCCGGCTCCTGGGTCATGAACGTTGTGCCTACGATATCAGAGAGGAACACTCTTGGCATCATCTATGAGCGGGGTCTTATTGGCATATACCATGATTGGTGAGTCTGGACTCTGGAAGTCCCCTGTGTTGTGGTATCAATGGGCAAATAATATGTTTGTTTCTTTGAATTTTGGCAAATAATATGTTGGTGCGTTGAAACCATTCCTGAATTACCATTATTTTGTGCTGTTATCAGGTGCGAAGCCTTCTCTACGTACCCTAGGACATATGACCTGATACATGCCAGCGGTGTCTTCAGTTTGTATGAGAACAAGTAGGTGATCTCTTCTCTCCTGGTGATACAGCTATATTATACTAGTACTACATAGGAAATCCATGACCTCTCTTATATGGACTTGGTGCACTTGTTAGGTGTGACCTGGAAGACATTCTTCTTGAGATGGATAGGATTTTGCGTCCCGAGGGCGCTGTCATACTGCGGGACAATGTTGAGGTGCTGAACAAGGTCAGGAGTACGGTGACGGGAATGCGATGGAAGTCCAAGCTACTTGATCACGAAGATGGCCCGCTCGTGCCTGAAAAACTTCTGATTGCTGTAAAAACGTACTGGGTTGGCAGCAAAGAAGGAAGCAGTCCATAGACTCTCTGCCCTGCGTCAAGATTTTGGACTTCTGATTGCTGTTGGGTGCCGCGTTAGGAAACAGTTCATAGGTTTTGTCCCTGCATCATGATTTTGGACAGCGAAAAAGTGACGGTTCATAGATTCTTGATCCCTCCACACCGATTAATAGTGCTTGTTCATAGATACAGATCTCTGTTGAGATGGTATAGTTGACAAACATTCATATGCGCATGTCGATAAAAGAAACATTAATTGATGGATTTTCCAATAGGCTGTTAATCCAGTATTGTGCTTAGATTACATTTCATATATCTTGTGGAATGGGCATTGGCAGTAATCCTTAATGTACTGGAATTCAGTTTGGTTCAAACCAAACAATATTCTGACAGTGCCGTCAAAGTCCATGTACAGCTTTCTCCAAAGAGATGAAGTTTTGTTTTTTGACAGTATTTACAACGTGGAGGAGGGCGCCGTTTCGTTTCTCTCCCTGCTGTTCCATTGATTTGGCGATCTTCCCTGGTAACAACGGCGAAATACAAGGCTATGGCGCAGATCTGGAGGCTATGGCGCAGATCTGGAGGCTATGGCGCAGATCTGGCGTCGGCCACACGCCACATAATCAAGCTCCTGAATTTGGTTTTCTACATTCAGTGCAGCTGTACTATGTTTTATTGATAAATATGATGAGAATGTTAAGCATATTTTACTGGTTTGATGAAAGAAGCAACAGAAGCGTATTGAAAACCAAACGAAATTGCAGTATGGCTAAAATAAGAAGGGAATCGCGGATTGGAGACTTGGATGCGATCAGAGCCTGTCGGGATGTATGCGTGTCTTCACTTTGTGACATCAGGGGATTGACAGACTATCATACATAACATCATCACCTCGCATCGAAATCAATCCATCCTCAAAACAAATCCAGCATATCAACACTCGGAAGATTAAACATCCAGAGAACACAGCGGAAAAACGTATCGAAGGGGGCTCAGAACTTCTTAGAGGGTTGTGTTACCGACATCGGCGCATCCGCCTCCGGCACAGGTTTCGTTCCTCATTGCCGGCGAGTACCAACAGAGGAAAGACTCGCAAAACTTGTTACGAACCAAGCGATTTGGGTTTCAAAAACTCGCAACAAAAGCAAGCGAAGAAAAGAACAGCTTACAGAAAGGAAAAGTTCCATGAAAAATCAGATACCAATGGAGCAGGAGGGAGAAGGGAGAGATGCGTTCTTGTTTCAAGACGGCTGCTGTAGGAAAGCATGCTGTGCCCTCGATTTATAGAGTAAGGAGGGATGGGGGAATGGGAAACCCTAAAGATCCTGGTATGCTATTGGGCTTCCGATGAGCCGAGAGCCCATGCCCAGCATTAATGAAACAATGGGCCTCTCCGAGAGGCCCGACTAGTTAGCCGGCCTGCGTTATCTCAAAACAAAAGTTAGCTGGCCTGCGTTATCTCAAAAAAAAAAAAGTTAGCCGGCCAGCCTTACTTTTTACGGAAAGACTAACGTATACATGTGTGGGCGTCTGTCAACTCGCCCACATGCATGGATCCTCGTCCAATTAATTCTGCACGAATCTTGGCGCATTTTAGCAGTTTTTGTGTGCCACGTAGGACTGGGCTGGTGTGTGGGCATTCATCCGGTCGCCCACACGGCCTTTTTCACCACACGGGGGGCTGTTGTGTGGGCGTTTAGCAATTCGCCTACACACTAGTTTTCACGCACGTAGAGGGGCTGGTGTGTGGGTGTTTATCACTTCGCCCACACGCCCGTCTCCTCGCGCCACACCCAAAGCTGTCAGTTGCCATATATTTCTGCATGGTACATGGTTACTGCCCTAGCTTTGCTTGTAAATAGATGACAACTCTCTTTTACCCGAGTTGCCATGTGTTTTTGCATGGTACATGGCAACTGCCCTATCGTGTACGTAAGCAGATGGCAACTCTTTCTTTTCTACATGGCAACTGCCCTAGCGTGCTTTTTTGCTATGCATTTTTATAGTGAGCACATGGCAACTCTCTCTTTTATCCGAACATGTTTTTTTGCCATGCCTTTTTTATAGTGCTACATGGCAACTGTCTAGTGTTAGTAGGTGGCAACTTCTAAAATTTTGAAATCATGACAACTGTAGTAGACCAGACCATACATGACAACTGCATAGTGTTAGTAGTTGGCAACTCCTAAATTTTTGAAATCATGGCAATTGCAGTAGACTAGACCATGGCAACTGCAATTGAGCAACCATAACAACTGTAGTTGTCCGACATGACAACTGTAGTTCAGCGACATGACAAATGCAGTTAAACGGACATTGAAGAGGGTCCGGACCATGGCAACTACGAGGACACGTGGTGACTGTCACGCGGGGCGTGCGGGACCATGAGGTAGGTGGCTGAGAGAGGTCGTGTGGGTGTTATCCATTTTGCCCACACGTAGGCGTGTGAGAGGGACCGCGAGAAAAAATGATGCATGTGGGTGCTAGTTGTTTTGCTCACACTTAGGCGTGTGGGTTGGTCTTCTTGAACACCACACAAAACGTATGGCCACATCCCTTAACGCCCACACATGTGGACGTTATCGGCGTTCATTTTTTATGGGATTTGAATGATGTAAGCTTATTCATTTCTCAATAAAACACGTCAGAAGGCTTTCATGTTAAAAAAGTCCTTTTCCCCTCGATTTATTTTTCAACCAAGAGGGTTTCAGTTCATGTATTCAAAAACAAAAATGTTGCAATATCGTTTGGGACACGGCCTTTCGTTTTGAGTGTTGGGAATCAAAAAATGAGGCACGATAGTTGACTAAAGCTTCTTCCTCTTTAGATTTTGATCGCCGCTTGTGGCTCGACATTGCCCTTTTTATTTCAAGGCCGACACTAGGCGACATCCCGCTGTAGCAAGTAAAATATCAATCGCCTTGGTAGTCGTTTGATTGACTTGCATCCGGCCATTCGATCGGCTCGTTGTCCCTCTCCTTCTTCTTTGCACACTCACACCCTTGAGCCATGTTTTTCCAAACGCCTTGCAGCAATGCCTTGCAACCTACAGCCCCGGCGGCGAGTCGAGGCCGACCTTGCAAAGTACACAACCTGAAGCACTAGCGGCACACTTCATTTGCTTCCCTTGCAATGTCGCCTCGTGTGTCGGCCATTCCCCTCGCATCATTGCCTCACCACATCACCGGCAGTTGTCGCAGCATCGTCTTACAGCATCCAGTTGTTGCCAGCTTCACAACCCTATGGCGTTGCAGTACTGTTGTGCAATCTCGCTAGGCCTCACTCGCGAAGTGTCTTCCGCCACTGCATCGCATATCGTCATAGTTGTATCAACGTTGCTGCACATTGCATTGTAAATTTTGTTGCGAAGGCGCCCTTCACAGCATCGGCTCGACGACACCGCCCATCGCACGACTTGCAACAAATCTAAGGGCCTCGCAGCATGGCGGCACCCTTGAAACATTGGCTCATAGTGTCGGTGTCACCTGTGACAATATCCCCTCGAAGTAGCATTGACGACCATTGCAGCATCGCCTCACAACACCAGTCAGTTGCCATGCAACATCCTGTGCTTCCGCTAACGAGTGGCAGTTTGCGACACCTAGTTTCTCCTATAGCATCCCGGTGTCACCCTTGTAACGGTGTTGATAGCGAAAGCATTACAGCATGGCAATGTCTCTGCATTGTCGTTACAATATTAGCAGCCTACCCACAGGGGCGCATGGCAATGTGCCTTTAGATCCCCCAGCCTAGTGGTTTGTCTACTACGTGATGAGCTCGGGCTTAGTTGGTGCCAACGTTTGTATGAACAAAGGTCATCCGAACATTCTACGTCTAACGGCCGACATGGCTAACATTGGTGAGGGGGTTGTGGGCATTTGTATTTAGAGACATCCAATCAGACAAGGTGTTTGTTTTTCTTGTGCAATGTCACTAGATCCGCTTCACAATAAGCACACTGAGGGGTGCCCCAACCAATGTACCTTCATCTTTCATCACGGGCCTACCTCTCATGGTGGTTTACTATTCTAGTTTTTGTTGGGCTATGATACTGATGGAAATATGCCCTAGAGGCAATAATAAAGTTGTTATTATTATATTTTCTTATTCATGATAAATGTTTATTATTCATACTAGAATTGTATTGACTGAAAACTTAAATACATGTGTGGATACATAAACAAATACCGTGTCACTAGTGAGCCTCTATTAGACTAGCTCGTTGATCAAAGACGGTTAAGGTTCCCCAACCATAGACATGAGTTGTCACTTGATAACAAGATCACATCATTTGGACAAGACCCATCCGTTAGCTTGACATATGATCTTTTAGTTTATTGCTACTGCTTTCTTAATGTTAAATACTTATTCCTTCGACCATGAGATCATGCAACTCCCGGATATCAGAGGAATACCTTGTGTGCTATCAAACGTCACAACATAATTGGGTGATCATAAAGATGCTTTGCAGGTATCTCCGAAGGTGTCTGTTGAGTTGGCATGAATCGAGATTGGGATTATCACTCCGTATGATAGAGAGGTGTCTCTGGGCTCACTCGGCAATACGACATCACAAGAAGCTTTGCAAGCAAAATGACTAAGGAGTTAGTTACGAGATGATGTATTACAGAACGAGTAAATAGACTTGCCAGTAACGAGATTGAACTAGGTATGGAGATGCCGATGATCGAATCTCGGGCAAGTAACATACCGACAGACAAAGGTATTATGTATGTTGTCATAAAGGTTCAGTCGATAAAGATCTTCGTAGAATATGTAGGAACCAATATGGGCATCCAGGTCCTGCTATTGGTTATTGACCGGAGAGTCGTCTCGGTCATGTCTACATCATTCTCGAACCCGTAGGATTCGCACGCTTAACATTCGTTGACGATATAGTTTTATATGAGTTATGTGAATTGGTGATCGAATGTTGTTCGGAGTACCGGATGATATCATGGACAGGACGAGGAGCTCCTGAATGTTTCAGAGGTAAATATTAATATATATAGGACGATACTA